TGTTGAATGTTGTTTTGTTTTTACTGTCTGAGGGACTACAGATGTAAATTAGCCTTAGGCTAAATCTGGTGCAGTGCATGAAATGCTTTTATGTTTATGTTTTAATTGCACACTGTCCCGACCAAATAAATAAATCATTCATTCATAAACTAGATAAAAATCTAAAAAGTGTTGACTCCTGGGTCTTGTTGATCAGGTTGTCTGATTTTTCTCTCCGTCAGTGAGTACGACACGTACGGCTTCAAGACGGTCCCCGAGGAGGAGGAAGAGGAGGAGAGGCTGGATGCGAAGGTCCGAGCCTTGGAGCTGAAGTCCCTGTCCATGACGGACCAGGAGGTGTCCGTCGGGGTCAAGTGGGAGAACTTCCTGGCCGGCACCATGAACCGAGACCTGGTGCGCTCCCCCGAGCTCAAGGCCCTGATCCGCTGCGGCGTGCCCCACGAGCACCGCCCCCACGTGTGGCGCTGGTGCGTTGCCCTCCACGTCAAGAAGTTCCGCGACCACCTGGTGCCGGAGTACTACGAGACCCTGCTGAACGTGGCCCGGGAGAGGCCCAACCCGGCCTCGAAGCAGATCGAGCTGGACCTGCTGCGCACTCTGCCCAACAACAAGCACTACGCCTCGCCGAGCGCGGGCGGCATCCACAAACTCAGGAACGTCCTGCTGGCCTTCTCCTGGAGGAATCCGGACATCGGCTACTGTCAGGGACTGAACAGGTACTGGACTGGATCTAGCTCCTCTCAAGTCTTATGGTGGTACTTTGTAACCAATATCATTTTATTGCGTCATTTCTTTAGGCTAGTAGCTATCGCCTTGCTGTACTTAGACCAAGAAGATGCCTTTTGGACCCTTGTAGCCATTGTGGAAGTTTTCATGCCGAGAGACTATTACACAAAGACTCTGCTTGGCTCTCAGGTGATTATAATTCTAGTTTAACACGAGAAAAGACCCCAGTAGACCAAAAAGAACAATCAATAAATCGATCCATGCTGGTTTCTTGCAGGTTGACCAGCGTGTGTTTAAAGACCTGATGAGCGAGAAGCTGCCGCGCCTTCATGCCCACTTCGAGCAGCACAAGGTGGATTTCTCTCTCATCACCTTCAACTGGTTCCTGGTCGTGTTTGTGGACAGCGTGGTGAGCGACATCCTCTTCAAGATCTGGGATGCCTTTCTGTTCGAAGGACCCAAGGTAAGAGGCAGATGATGTTAATTTGTGTTCCTCTGGTTCAATATTTCTGTCTGAACAGGATTAAACGGCTGAGAATACAGCTAAGAAATGACTTAATTGTGTTCTAATTAGAGGCAAAAACCTTTTTAAGACTCTGAGGTAGGGCTGCAACAATGAATCGATAAAATCGATTATTAAAAGCGTTGGCAACGAATTTCATTATGTCGCGTGATTTATGCTTCAGAACCGTTTACTGGGTCGAACATTTTAGTCAGACAGAAAAAGTGTTGCATGCCAACACTTCTTTACCATTGTTTCATCATTTGCTTAATTTATGTATTGTGCAGTCTATTTTCCCTGATGCCTGCAAGTTTGCTCAGATTACTCCCATTTTTAAATCTGGTGATCCAACAGAAGTTTCAAACTATCAACCAATTTCTGTTCTTCCTATTTTTTTTCTGAGTTATTTGAAAAAAACATTATTTAATCAACTACTTCAGCATCTAGAAGCTAATAAATGGCCAACATGGTTTCCGCACGTCAAGGTCAACCATGTCTGGATTAATTTTATTCACTGAACAAATACATGCTGCTTTGAACAAAGGTCAAGTAACTGGTGCTGTATGTATTGATTTTCGTAAAGGGTTTGACAGTTGATCATTATACTCTCTTACAAAAGTTGATTTCTTTTCAACTTTCATCATCTGCAATACAAATGTTTTCCTCTTATTTGACTGATAGGTGTCAGGTTGTGAAACATGGAAGCTCTGTGTCCGGGTCTCTGCCCTGTTCTGTGGGAGTTCCGCAGGGTAGCATACTGGGCCCATTGCTTTTCCCATTATACATAAATGACCTTCCAAATATGTTGAAGTATTCAAATATTTTAATGTGTGCTGATGATACTGTTCTTTTTTTGTCTGATTTCAATATTGAATCTATTAATAGTCAGTTACAAGCAGATCTTCAGACATTTCATGGTTGCCTTCAAGATAATCTTTTGTCAATTAATGTTAAAAAAAAACTGTGTGCATGTATTTTTCCTCACCCAGGAGACATTTCAATATAACAAATCAACTCACTTTTTTAAACAAACCCCTTGATATTGTCACTACCTACAAATATGTTCGAATTACTTTGGATTCTCATTTGACTTATCGTGATCATGTACAAGTCTTAACCACTAAGTTGAAACAGAAATTATACGTTTATTCAAAAATTAGATCCAATCTGACATCTTCTGTTTCAAATATCTATCTTCATGCCATTATACTCTCAACCATGTCGTACTGTTTACCTGTTTGGTCTCTTACAACAAATGAAATCTTAGAACCCATAKTTAGGCTCTACAACAGGGCCTACAAAATTCATAAAAACTTCCTGGTTGGACTCATCACTGTACAGTTCTTTCATTGTCTGATGCCTTGACTTTTCAGAATTATGTTTTGTATAGTGGTATTAATTTATATTTTCAGATCTTCCAAGGTGCCAATTATGGAACTCTCTGTGCATTGTTGCCCAAATCAAATTCTGGAAGTGGTCATTCAACTAGATCTGTTACAAAAGGACAACTGATATTACCAACTTTTAAAAACTGTTACGGCCAGAGGTCTTTCTTCTATGTTAATACTAAAGCATGGAATGACATTCCTCAAAACATAAAGTCCATTTCAAAACTACAGCCCTTTAAGAAGAATCTTGTCTGCCATCTGCTGGACACTTTTTGTTGTGCTCATATTTAGACGTCCGATTTTGCAAATGCTGCCTTTTTGAAATTTGGTATGCTTGTTTGTCTTTGTGTCTATGGTKTATAATGATGTGATTGTGATGCTGTATTTCTAAGTGTTTATGTGCTGCAGAACAGGAACCTGCTGTAAAACAGCAATTATGCTGAGTCAGGCTTGATTTTTAATAATCTTTTCCTGTTATATAAATAAATCAAATCAAATCAACCAACAAGGAAGCAAAAAGTAAAGAATTTGAGAAAAATTATAAATGTTAAATGTAAATAAATTCTAATTATAATAAATTAATAATAGTTTTACATCTAAAAATCATATTTTATTTATTTTCCTCATTCAGCAACCTATCAAATTTCTGTTATGTTTCATGTCGGAGAAATACACTTTTTTCAGTTGGTATTTAATACAACTGGCAAAATAAATTGTTAAAATATTTATGATGTGCTTCTGTTTATTAATTCAGGAGATTATAAAAAAGTCCTTCATGTTATGAAAAGACCCTGTTGATTCAAGAGAAAACTCCAGTTTTTAAGAAAATGCCTGCTTATCAATTAATTGTTAGTCAATTTATAAGATAAATCAACTTCACATTAATGAATTAATCAATAATTTGCATCCCTAATTTATACAGGAATAAAATTAGTTTATATCTACTTGTATTCATGTAATTAAGTGTTTTAACGATTTGGCCGATTAATCGATTATTAAAATAATCATTAGTTGCAGCCCTACTCTGAGGCATCATCTTTTCTTCCAGGAATGTTTGTCCTTTAATTAAATTCAAGTGAAGTCATGAAGTAGTTTCTGATTCATGTGTACAGATGGTTTGTGCTTTGCTCACACGAAGTGTTTCCATTCCTCTGCTCTTCGTTGTATTAAAAAAGGTTTGCTGAAATTGTGTTTTCATGTCTTTTGATTCTTTGTTTCTCACAGATCATATTTCGATTTGCTCTTGCCCTGTTCAAGTACAAAGAAGAAGAATTTTTGAAGTTGCAGGATTCCACAGCCATCTTCAAATACCTGCGATGCTTCACTCGCACAATCTTGGATTCAAGGTAAAAAGACCAGTGCTGGGCATTGACTAAATTTTTTGAATTGCGACTAATCTCAAGACATTTTTTAGGTTTAGAACTGCGATTAATCTCATTATTATGCACAGAATTAAATTATGACTCAAAGATGTTTAGAGGTTTTAATGCATTTTCAAAAACTTTAAACAAATCAGGTAAAATCAAGCCTGATTGTTTTCCTACACGCTGCATCCAGATCATCTGCATCTGCAGGAGCCTCTGTTACTGTGGACAGTTTGTATCAACCACGTGTTCTTAAACTCCTCCATGAAGACAGCTTAGTGTTGGACGAATACAAATAACTTTATTTTTAAAATAAAACTGTAAACTGTCCCTCACCTGTCCTGGGAATATATCAGCTGCCGTTCTGAGCATCAGTACGAAACATTTTACTTTGTGTTTTTCAGGAAGCTGATGAACATTGCTTTTGTCGACATGAACCCGTTCCCCATGAGGCAGATCCAGAACCGCCGCTCCTTCCACCTGGAGAAGGTGCGCCTGGAGCTGACGGAGCTGGAGGCCATCAGACAGACCTTCCTGAAGGAGAGGGAGACGAGGCAGGACGGACGCAGCTTCGTCAGCGACGACGAGGAAGACACCTGATGAAGAGGATCCAGGGCTGTTTTAGAATGAAGACAAAGAGAKCGTCTCYGCAAATTTGTGACGCGTTGCCGTCACCGAGGGTTTTATTTTCCTGATTCAGTCCCCAGAGTCCGTCTCTGCATCACGATCAGGAACAGTGAGTCAAAGGACCAAGAACCCATCAGTATTCCTGCCATTATCTTCTTATTTGTAAAAAACACTTTTGTTTTTGCTGCCTACTTTTATATCATGTCCAACAGCGAATGCTTTATCAATTCCAAACCCACTTCTACAGCCTAAAGCAGTATTTTCAAACATTTTTGTGTCTTTTTTTTAAGAAATCTGTGTGTTTTTTTAAGTGTACATTACCAATCATCATTTTTTCTTTACTCTTGTCTTTTATTGCACTTAAATTTTTGGATGCTGGAGCTTCAACCTAGCTCAAATGTTTAGTTTTTAAACATTCCCATTCAGATTTGTATCTGGATGAAAAATAGAGAGGATGGATCAAAAACTCAAGCTCTCCTTTTTGTGCCAACTACAGGAACCACTTACTGAAATGTATTTTTACATTTAAAATTCTAATATTTTCAGTATAAACAGACTAAGATGCCACAAATCATGTGTCTTATTAGTCAGTTCGTGTTTTGTATGTTTTTTTACTGGTACATAGCTGAGTCATCAAAATATTATTTCTTTTTTCCAAAATTCTTAAAAACCTTGTTTGGCATAACTGCCTCAGGATTTGATCGACACAACATTTTAATTTACTTGAACAATTCAGTGAAACCCTTCAGGTAATTCATCAGTATTTTTACTTTTACTCTCATATTAGAGTACTGCATTTATTTCTGCCGTTGGTTAATTTTGCCTTATTTTCCATCTGTTTAGAGTAGTTTGAAGGATTAAGTACATTGGTGTCTTTACACTCGTTGTCCTCACTGTGGCAGTGTAACATTTATTCACACATTCACACAGCAGCTGGAGTCTAAGTTGACATTATTAAATTAAGAAAAAATAATAGTAAAATCCTTCACTTTGTTGCACATTCAGGTACTTATAGATCATTGTTTGTTTTGTTTGTTTAAAACCTTGTTCATTTCTGAGGCTGTGTAAGTTTGATCAGTAAACTGTGAACACTTGGATGAACAGGATCTTACACGAGACTGACGAGGAAGTGGTTGTTTATCTTTTTTTTTCAGTTTAGCTCTTCTTCCTGTGTGCTGGAGCCTCGTTTACAACTTATTTTTTTACTCACGTTGAGCTGTTATTTCAAAACTTGCTCTGCTGCTGTTATCTTTTTGTTAAATCACTTGTGAAAACATGGCTGAATTATGTTGAATGACTCGCATGTAGAGGTAGAAATTTAAATTGAATTTGTATGAGAGCAGGTCTCTCACTGAATCCAAAATTTTCCAAACTAGATTTTTTTTTTGGAACCATGATGGTAAAGAGCTGGTGCGTTAGGTTTCAGCCTTTTTAAAAATACTTTAATGGAATAAGCTACATCGAAAACAATCATCTTTTCTTTCTCTTTTTATTTTTGTTTGTTTCTGTCAGCACAATATTGCACAGTATGACCTTCATCTTAAAGCTGATCTGTTATTTTTTTCATCTTTATTGTTGATTTGCTCTTTTTTAAATGAAAAATAAAAAAATCTTTGTTAACAAATTGGAATATTATGCCACTTTGTGTTAAACCACATCAATAAATAACTGTTAAATGAACGACTTGTCTCATTTTCTGAATTAAAAAACCTTTCTGAAATTATTTTTTATCATGTGTTTTGTAAGGGTGCAAGCAAATTGAACAGGATTTTATCTCACGTGCTTGTTWGCTTACAGAAGGAAGTGACTGAAAATATGTCAACAATAGAGACATGAAAGTGTTTATTTTTGGACATGAAATTCCACATTTTTGACATATTGATACATATTTGTACTCTTGTTGAATGAGGCAGGCAGATTAAAACGTACTTTATTTTCATTGAATGTGGACGCAATTCAGAATAATATCTGGAAAACTACATTTCAGATATCAGAATAGTCAGCTAATTTTTGAAGATGGGGGTTTGTCTTGGCCTGTGTAATTATACTTTAAATATTTTAGCTACCCTGCTTTTAGTTTCTAGATTACCTTGATTTGATACTTGTTTCATTTGGCCAATAGGCCTATTTTGCTTCTTTTAGCTAACATTTAGCTACTTTTAGCTGGTGTTTTCTTGCCTTCTTTTAGCTTACATTTTGCTGCTTTTGATTTCTAGCAAGACTTTTTAGACTTTGTTGATACTTTTACACTTTAGTAAATATTTTGCTTATTTTAGTGGTTCCCAATCCTGGTCCTCAAGTACCCCTATCCAGCATGTTTTACTTGTTTCCCTGTTTTTCAGCAGGTCTTCAGAAGATTGTTAATCACTCATTCATTCAAACCAGGTGTGTCAAATCAGGGAAACATCTAAAAATCACTGCTTTAAATGTTGACCAACATCTCAAAGAGCTTGTCTGAACCACACTCCACATCAGTAGGTGGCAGTAATGCACCTTACAGTTGTTTGCCAACGGCCAAAAATAAAAATAAGAAGAAACTCGAGCTTCTCTGAGTTTGATGAGACATTTTCCAAATATAATATTGACTTGGTTTTATGGTGTTTTTTTTTTTTTTTAGTATTGTCTCTGGAAGCCATTTACTCTTTGCCATTTATTTGTAAATAATAAATCAATTAAAGCAGTGATTCTCAGCCCTGGTCCTCAAGGACTGATTTCCTGCACGTTTCAGGTGTTTCCCTGATTTGACACACCTGGTTTGAATGAAGAGTGATAAACAATCTTCTGAAGACCTGCTGAAAAACAGGAAACAAGTAAAACATGCTGGATAGGGGTACTTGAGGACCATTTATTTATTTACTTACTTACATCTTTTCTTTCAGCAAACCTTTTGCTGCTTTTAGCTTATAGCTAGCTTTTTGATGATTTCTGCATTTATACTATTGTCCTTAAGCCAATGTTTTGCTACTTTTACTTTTTAGCTAGTTTTTGCTGCTATTATCTTTAATAACTCAATTTCAGCTTGTACTGGTTATTTCAGCTGTCACTTGATCTCATTATTTAATTTGTATTTTTATAGAAAAGGCATATTTCTCTGGTTCAGAATAATTTTAGTTTAGTTTGATACCTTTTTTAATAACTGTCTAAAGGAACAGACATGTTGTGTTGGGGTTATCTTGGCAGACCTGCCTCCCTGCTGTACTTTCAGAGCAGAACCATGAGGGGGAGGAGGGACTTCTGCTCACACAAAAGCCTGATGGGTCGACCTGCTTRGGGACAGAAAGCAACAGAGACGCCAGACAAGCAGGCTTGTGTCTCAGCTGCCACCAGAAGAGACGTGGGAACGGATGATCCTCTGCCTGACATCTGACACAAAGGTAAGACGTGATGTTTGTAGATTTAACTGCAAACTGTCTGTTTAAAGCCTCTAGTTTGAAACCAGAAAAGGAAGTTTGTGGCCATTCAGTGTTTTTTTTTTTTTTTTTTTTTTACCTCATATTTGCATGTACAGATCCGTCTCACCCATCAAAGCTGGCAGTTTCAGCCAGATAAAAATGTTTCACTATAGAGGCCCTGCCCTAATTACCCAGAAATCCTATTTTCATCTAAATTCCTCTTCTAATCACCGTAATGCCCAGCTTTGCCTTGTGCTCCTTGATTGTTTGTGGAAACTTTCCTGGTCAAGTTCAAGTGCTCAGGCTTGTTCAGCAGCGAGCTTCAAGTCTTGCTGCTGTTCAGTTCGACAAGCTGGAACATGTGTTGAAATAAATTCCATGCCTTTAGTCAGATATAAAACGGCACCTCCTCTTTTTTTCCCTCCTTTCTTTTTCTTTACATCAACAGGAGAAGAAGGAAGACGGTTCCCGGTGAGGCAGATCTGCAGGACTTTGAGGCCAGCTCCTACATCAATGAGGACACCAGGCATGGCAGCATTCAAGCACCAGAATGTGGAGGATTTCTACGAGATTGGAGAAGAACTGGGAAGGTGAGGGGGGAAACTTCCCAGGTGTTTTCAGGAAGGAAAGGAAGAAGAGTGGGTCCTCCTGAGGGTACATGCACAGAAAAGAGGCAGGCCTAAGCTTGACCTGAGGAGTGTCAGCGTTCTGAACTAGGTTCAAGTTCACTGCCGGGGGGTGAAGTTTCAAAAGCGAGCGTGCTCTTAAACAAACAAGCTTTGGAGTGTTTTTAACATCCCTGGATCAAATGTGCTGCTTTTAAACGAGCAGGTTCTGGGCAGTAAACCATAACCGAACCTTCAGAGAAGATCAGGCATGGAGACGCCCTTGTCTCTTGGGGAAATAAATTTAAGGAAGTCTGCAGCGAATCGTATCATTTGAGGAAGCTTATGACAGAGTAGATGTAAATAGGAACGTTTCTGACCTCTGACCTCTCCCACTGTTAATCCGAGGAGCTCCACTTGCTGTTTGTTGACCACTACCAGTTGAACTTCTTTGTCTTGGCTGCTCCCGTCGCTTTTTTTCATACAGGAAGAGGGAGAATTTCCAACATGTTTTGTCATATGGAAACGCTAAACATTTCCTTCCTTTATAAGCAACAACATCTCCACGAGGTTTCACAACTAAACACAGACTGAACTTTTGTAGATCGTATTTAAAGAGAGAGTTCAGATTATTTAAAGTGGGATTCTGTGAAAAGTTMATATCTTACCTTCAAAATTTCATTGACAAACATAATTTTATGTCAGGGCTATCCAGCTAAATCGTTCCGGGGGCCACAGTTACTGCAGGCCAACAGCTGAGGGGCCGAACATCCAGCTATTAAAGTTATTATGTAAATAAACCCAAGTGTTACAAAGATCTGTTACCTTTTGATTTAGTTCACTTTGCTGCATTTAATCATGAGTACAACATACAGAACCACATGTAATAAATGATAATAAAACAATATCAAAAACAGAACACATTATGCCTCCTATTTAACACAAATATTATTTTGACATCTGTCTTGCCAAATTTTTAAACCAATTTTAATTTCACTTTTATAGTTTTATCTTCATCTGCTTGTAGTTTTAACTGTCTTGAGTGTTCATTGAAATGATTTTTACCAGCTTCTAGACAAGATTCTGACGTTTCTGTAGATGCCAAACATGTCTATGTTTAACTAAAAGAACTTAATTAAGGTAAAAAACCAGGGGTTCGAGCTTAAGAGATGAATGAACCGATTGGCGGGCCGAACTGTGGTCACTTGCGGGCCGGATGTGTCCCACCAGCCATCTGTTTTGTTTTTTGACTGAATTGATGAGCGAACAGGTCGTCTGAAAGCAGTCAAACCCAAAGTGGGTCATCTGTTAAAGCAATTCTGTATCAAAATGTTTTAGTAATCTTTCCGCTCTCATTGACGTTTGCATTACATGATTATTTACACAAAAAATCTGTACAAATCACAGCAAAAGCAGCTAAGTGTAGCACTTCCTGTGCTGTCTGGGGCACTTCCTGTACGACTAAATTGATTTATAAAAGTAACAACTTTAGAAATGCACAAGTTTTTGCAACATTGAAATTTTTTTCTAGAGAGAAGCTAAGCCCTGAGGAGACTAAGCTAATTATGTTTATGAAAAAAAACCAGGACTTTCAATCATTTAATTATTTTTATCAATCGCCACCATTTCTTTGTATAAATGTGTGCATAATGTTTATCAGTACCATTATGGATGGATGTTAAAGGAACTCAAAGAAAATCTACAGCTGATTAACTCGATTCAAGATGGCCGCCACAGCTAAACTAACTTAGCAAACACAGAAACAGTTGTAAATCAGTCAGTTTCACAGCTGTAATTTGGTGTGGTGGTAGCTGAGGGTCATCCCCATTAAGCTCTAAATGATCACACAAGATCTCTTTTAAAACTTCGCCATTAACTGTCAGAGTCGACGATCATTGCGCGCACGTCTACAACTGAGTCAGTCCAGTTCAAGATGGTCGCCACAGCTGAACGACCTCAGCCAACACAAAGATGATAATGTCTGACATGTTTATGAATATCTAACACACACACACACACACACACACGTTGGACCAATAAGGCTCTAACTCTTGCTTCGTCATATGATGGCTTTAAAGGTAGCGGCCAGTATGCATTCCTTCAATCATTGCTTGGTTTTTGATTTAATTATAAGGATAAATTGAAGACGAGATAAAGACTTAAAAAGTTGTAACCATCAACTTTAAAACTTTTCTAAAAACCTTTCAAAAAACCTTTTTTTATTAGCAGCTTCTGTGAGTCTTGTCACAGAAATCAGCTCTGAAACACTAAAACTCTGCTCTGCTTTAGAGATCTTCCGTATTGTGAGAATCTGAAACTTTGACGTGTGGTGCAAAGRAAACCATACAAGCTCAAAATGTTATTTTCTGTCCCTGCAGTTCACTCCTATTTCACACCTTCTCACCCTGCAGGAATTATTACTCACTTGTCCTCTCCGGGCGTCAGAGAGATGCTTAATCAATAGAGGGGAACAAATGGAGCCGTGTGTGGGATTTAAGCTGCTCTACGAATGTGTTGAGGAAAACCAATTTATCATTTTTGCCTCCTTGATGACCAAGTTTTAATTTCACCACAACTCTTTCCTTGACGCACAGTGTGGTGTAAACCTGTCCACAGCTTCAGATGTGAGTTATTTACTGACAACTGGAGCTGTTTTGTCATCTCAGTTATAACACATTCAGTGTGATGCAACTCAGGAGGAAGTGTTTATTGTGAACGCACAGCTGAGACTGGTTAGAGCGCTTGGTAACGAGGCAGCATCAAGAAGCAGAAGCGGAACTCATTCACAGGCGGCCCTCTTTGCTTTCTGTTGGATTCTGGTTTGGTCGTAATGCTACAGATAAAACGAATAATAAAAAAAGGGWGTGCCATGTTGGTTTGGAATAAAAGTGAAACGGGAGCTCACGTCATTCTGGATGTGACGGTAGACAACATGTTTACATGGGTTTGTACAYGCCGACAGAGTCACTGAGTCACTTTCTTTGGTTGTTAGGTTCCACACTTGGCTCCTCGCTCAGATATTAAAAACTTGGGATGAAAGGAGACATCCATAAATTATCATATAATGAACGGTTGGGCCACCACAAGCTACCAGAACCACATCAACACAGATTGGCATGGATTTAGCAAGAATCTGGAATGATGGGAGGGATAAAACRTATTGCGCCACGTTCTTGTTGTTTCCATTGTCTTGATGTAAGGACTTATTTGACCTCGCCAAATCCCCAGCTGAAGTCAGATCATCGGAATGTGAAAGCAGCAATAGAAGATCAAAATAATTATCRGCCATCGAAAGCAGGCGACCTAATTCAAGATGGCTGCGACAGCTAGCCAACATTAGCGAACACAATAGCTAACATTTGGTGCGGTGGTAGCAGAGAGTCATACCCAAGTTATACGTGGAGCGCTGAATCACAAGATCTTAAAACTTTGCATTAACAGTGGAGTCAGCCATGTCTGTTAGCAAAATATCTAATGAACTAGGGTGGTGTATTGCATACGATACACATCACGATACAGGGGTCATGATACGATATCCCGATATTGCGATACTGTAGGCGAGGCAATATTGAGTAGATTTTAAAAAACTCTATAAACTTTTTCCAATACAAAGTCTGATTAAATTTAGTTTATTTTTATGCAATCAGAAGAAAACTGAACAGTGAGAACTGCATTTGTTTGTCACGTTTCTTACAACATCCATCCATTAAGCCTTAATTAAAAAGCAATTCAGTGTGTTTGAAAACGATACGATATCAGGAAATAAAATTTAGCAATATTTTCTTGAGTAGGTTTTAACAACACTTGGAAAGTAAGTATTGACTAAACATCTCAAACTCATTAGTTTTTGGAGTCATCATGGTGAAAAATGGCCGCCACAGCTAACCAATAGCAAACACAAAAATGTCTGTGGCTCAGTCTGTTTTTTTAGATATTGAGTAAAATTTGACATAGTTGTGACTGAGAGCGACCCTCAACATATRCTGCCGTCATAAATAGATAAACTGTTAAGCTCAAGTCGTGAGCAGGAATTTTGTTGTCATCTTKAAGGAGTTCATGTTAAAGGTTTAATTAGAAATTAGAGGCGATAATTCAGAACAATACTAAATTCATTTGTTGCAACAATTCACTTAAAAAACAAATCTGAACTATTTAAACTTTTCACTCTTGAATAAAAATTTCTTTTTTCTTGAATTTCTCACCCATCTTTTATCTTTAACATTATTTTATTTTYAACAAACAATAGGAAGTCATTGTTTCTTTACATACTTTACTTTTCTTGGTCAGATTTTTAATTTCTGGTGAATAAATCGGAATTGTTTTTATAGTGATAGAAGCAGATTAACGAAAGACCTGCTGACGAGCAGCATATGAAGATGAATCCTTCTGAACATTGTTATCTTAATAACATTCATCTAAAAGCAGCGTGAGATCCTCTAGTTTCACATAGTGTGATTCTTCTTGTTGCACACACCAGAAGCCTGTTTCTAACCAGAAGACAGGAAATGAGAAAATGTCACTTTTCACCACAGCTGAAATGCAAAGTGGTCGACTAATTAGTATTTCTGCCTCGCAACAACAATCTCTTGAGATAAAAGACAGGACAGAAAATAGGAAAGTCATTAAAGAAACGTTTTTCATTTGAGGAAGTGGAAGACGATGCATGCAAGGCAGCGACACGCTCCATCAGCTGCAGTGATCACACACTCCATGTGTTGAAGTGAAACGMGCTGTTTGGACCGACAGCTGCTGCTGCTGAGCTCAGCGGTGAAGTCACTGAGTTTCTTTAAAGGGTGGTCACCGTGCAAAAGCTTCCTGTTGCGCAGGCGTCAGGCTTGCGTGTGTGAAATTTACTGTGGGATGAAGATGTAAAAAAAAAAAAAACTGTGGAAGAAAACTGACCTTTGTTAATTTTTTTAGCATTCCTAACGTTCCTGTTTGACAGAGGTCGTTTCATAATTTGAAGTATGTGGAGCTGCTTTGCCTCAGATAATTAATAAACAGGGTGAGGCCTCTTAGGGCAGTAAAAATAAACCAAAAAGGTTCAACATCAAGAAGAACTGGTCCAGCTTGGGGGCATTGTGAGAGGTGAAATAGTGTTATCAGGCAGTTGCCAAAGCATCCAACAGTTAGTCAAAACAATGAGTAAAGGTCAACAAGGCCATCAGACTGTATTATCAGCACTTGACTGTTTGCTAGAGAAGGGGGTGTCTGCAGACAATAAGTGGSAGGTTCCTTAATGTGGGAGGAGTTTGTGAAAGATGTGATTGGTTGAATTGACTATTTTGGGTGAAATTTGAAGAAGCCATGACGGTACGGTTGGATGACCACCGGGCAGCTGGGGGGGGACGTGTAACAAATCATCAGAATGGCCAGAAAGATTTCTAATTTTGAATATTAAAATTTGTTGGCTCAAAGTTATTTGTTGCCATGACAGATTTCCATCATTTAAACAGCCAGGATGGATTTCCATCGCCTGTTTAAAAAAAAAAAAAAAAACACGGGTTGTTTTCTGTTGCAGTCTTGTTAAAACCGTCTAATCCAATGATGCAAGATTAAATGGACGATGCTTTCAACAAATCAAACAAACCCCAGAGCCACAGTTTCATCCAATCAGAGCAGAGCAGGGCGGACCTTTCTGACATACAGTAAGGTGAGGCCAAACGCCAATCAGTTTTCCTAGACTCCGCCCACACTCAAGTGCCTCTCACTGAATGAGTGCAGAGAGTTCAGTTTGCTAAGGACCATGTAGTCGTATGGTACAATCGTTCATCTTGTGGTGTCCAAATGTCATGATGTTGGAGACAATGAGCAGGCACTAAGTGAGAATTATTGTTTTGAACCCCATGGCATCTTTGTTGGCCATCCAGACAAGGATCATATGTCCAGTTCTGGTCCTCGAAGGCTGCATGTTTTACCTGTTTCGTTGCACCAATGCACCTGATTCGATGAGTGGATTCCCTCTTGAAGTTCTGCAGAAGCCTCTTAATCACTCGTTCATTCATATCAGGTGTGCTGGAGCAGAGGAACCTAATTGTTACAGCACTGTGTGTTGTCTTCAACACCTGGCCCATGGAGGTGCCACATGGACGTGAAGCTAGCAGAGTGCTCAAAAAGCTGTTGTCATCTGAGCTGATGTTCTAATCTCTCCATCTGTGTGCTCTGCTTTTTGTATCAGTAAGATGCTTCATAAGCAGTAAAAGCAGGACATTTTTTTTCTTACTTTAAAAGTCTTAGGGTTCGCTGTCAAACATCTGACAAATTACAGCCATGTTCTCGTTCAGGACTTGGTCGATTCTGACTCTGTCCAGCTTCGTCACGCTGCTCCAGAGATTACTCTGCTGACAAGTGTGTTTAGATGTTTGTTGGGCGCCACTTGTCCGAACATTCCTTGTCTAAGGATAATGACCTTCAGCTGTTGGAAGTGGAAACTCTGCAGAGAGACGGCACTTTAAACCACACCAACAGGCTTAAGGGGCTAAGACGGACGGCACGCCAGGCCGGTTTTGGAATGCCGCTCGCAGAATCCACTCCCTCTCCTCTGTTACTATGACACTTGKTCACGGCAAAACCTGTACTCTGACTCTTCATCATCTCACACTGAAACAACTGAATTACCTACTCGGAATGTCAGCAATTTCAGCAGAAGTCAGTCAAAAACTCGTGTGTTGAATCAGTGAAACATCTAAAACATGCAGGACAGTGGGTCAGGAGGAGGAACAGGGTTGGGGAACCTTTACCGTAAAGAAACTGAGAAACTGCTCCTGTTGATTGACAGCTCATTCCTCTGGTTGATGCTTGTTTTTGTCAGAGGAATTGACTGTTCTCTCCAAAATGACAGTCTTCTTCAACAGGGTTCAGCTTTTCTGGGAAATCTCAGGGTTGCAGCAAGTAGATCACGCAGACAACACAGACGACGCATYAGACTTTCCAGGCTGTTCACTGGACGCCCACCCACTGTTATTTTTTCTTCAACTGGGACTTGAAGGTGTGGATCTTTTTTGGAACATATTTTTACAGCACGTATAGCTTCAAAGTCCTTTCTCTCCTCTGCAGCAGCCTCTGCTCAAACATGTTCACATACTGAATATGTTACCAAGAGCTTTAGGGACGTAAAGATATGTCTCCAAAAGGCTTGTTGTGAAAGAAAACAGCTGTTCACAAGCATTCCTTTTAATTAGTCATACAGGTTAAAAAAAAATTCAAACAAAAGGTTGACAGTTATCAGAACTAATGCAGCCTGATGGCTCCTACTAGTTTAGTTTGTTGCAACACGTGACGCCATATTTCAGGACCAGTCAATTGGTGGCTCGTGTGCCACCTCAGGCCCGCGGGAGACTTCCGTTCGGTCCTCCAATGGAAAAAGTAAGTATATATATTTGTTACTTATTTTAATATAAAGATGGATTTTAAATCAGTTTTAAATTTACAATTAAATGCAACGAAGTGAACAAATTTAAACAGTTTATTTTTTCTTGTACAGAATGCATTGTTTCCCCTACTATAATCGGGCAACGCGCCCCTCAGTGTCCGGCCCCTGAGCTGTTGGCTTTGGATAACTGTGGCCCCCTGAGCAATTAAGAGTAATATTTAAAGGTTCACATTTCATTCCTCTACTGTGGCGGCCACAAAAAAAGTGTTTACGTGTTAAAATCTTCTAATTATTATTTTGTCATTGCAGAAGTAAGTAAACACTGGACTGGGTGTGCTGAWTTAGGTCAACATTCCCACCACATTGTCGTTAAAATGTCAGTTGTGGCTTTTAACCACAACAATTAGTTGATTTCTTTCGTTATGCGTCAGTCTTATTCATGTAAAAACTGTTAGAAAGCACAACTGAAAGTTGAGCCGCAGCAGCGCTTCTCCACTTCTGCTGGTCGGAGCTCTTCCTGTTTCCCTTCCAGCTGCAGATAGAAGACATGTGAAGACAAAGACAGTGAGAGGAGGTATTATTAGCCCACCACAGACCGGCTGGACGGCCTCCCATCGTCTCACTGGAATCTCCGCGTGGATGCTCGTGTCCAGTCTGGATGAAATTCCTGCCCGTTAGTTTCCATCTCTGCTGTTTTTGTTGTTTAGTTTACATAAACCTTTTTGTTGTAACTCCTGCCACGGTGCTCTGATCACATCTGTCCTTGTTATGCTGCTTGACTGTGCCCAATCAAAGTCATGGATACAGAAAATAATGGAGYGATCTGGACTAAAACATGTTGGATGCTGCAAAGGATCTCAGCCTGATGGAGAATTAAAAARGAAAACRGACGTTCTGTCTCTGTTTAGAGTAGTTTTAATCAGATCCTCAGACTTTCTGAAGGCCAGCTCAACAAATACCTACTTTGTTAATGRTCAGTACTCAAACATGCTTTTGTAGGCTGTGTCGTGCTGGAGACCATATTAAAATAAAACCCAATGATTCTGGGGGRAAAAAAGATGAGTGTCATGTTGGTTTTGTCCTTTTCTTCCTCCACGTGTTTCTGCAGAACTGACCTGATAAAAGCTGAGGCTGGTTTTCCTGGTCTGACTGCAGAGTGTGAGCAGCTCTGCACACTGCAGCTGGATGAATTWAGTCTGAGGAAGAATAATCTCACAGACGTCCTACATGTTGGTAACTGGAGGACTTTCATGGCTGAAAAGACGCAGGAAGACGTTCGGCTGTTTCGTGTGTCAGCTGAGTCATTAGATGTCACATGCAAGCACTTATTGTGTGCAACAAAACAAGAACACAATGAGGYGGCTGTCCTGTGGACGGTCTGAACGCTGCACCCATTTGTTGTCTAATACTGAGCTTTCGGGTTTCTTGGAAGATGGGAAGAAATTTGGCTGAAAGTTGAGAGGGGGAGGACAGAGGCTTTGTTCACTCTGTCAGCCTGTCTGATTGTCTTCTGTCTCTGCAGGAAACAGGAAGTAATGGACCATACCACAATAATTCAGACACAATTTTCTCTACAGCATGTTCCTGTCATATCCTGTTGATCCAAAACGATACCTGCAACACCTTTTTAATATAACGAGTCMGATTAAGATCAAATAAATTATGGGGTCAGTGTTAGTTTAATCACCTGTCAACATGGTGGACYATTTAATTGCTTCTGTGGCTGTGCGTGTGCATTTGTCTATCTGTTAGCAAAATATCTCACGAACCAAGAGACCTATTTTATTCAAACTCTCATGAAGTGGTCGCTGAATGTTCATCTATTAGTTTTTGGAGTTTGCCTGATTCAAAATGGCTGCCACAGCTAACCAACCTTRGCAAACACAAAAATGTCTATAACCCAGTCAATTATACAGATATTGAGTCAAAGTTTGGTGTAATTCTAGCAGAGAGTTATCTCTAAAATCTTTTTTGAGCACCAACCGATTGCTTAAGATCTTTGGTAAAATATTTGCAATAAATCTTAAGAGTCAATCTTGTTTGTCTGTTAGAATAGCTCATGACCCACTGGGCTGATTATAATAAAACTTACAAATGTAAATCATCAGATGAACATCTACAACTGATTAACATTTGGAGTCACTCTGTTTTAGGATAACTGCCACAGCTAATGGACCTTAGCAAACAGAATATTGAGCTATACAGTATTTTGGTATAGTTGTAGCTAAGATTCATCCCCAACACTCAGAGCRTTTATGTAAGATCTTTTTTCAAAACTAACATGAAGATGTTAAGTGATTCAAGTAGTGCTAGTTTCATTCATTCATTATTTATTTTGTATTTTGTGTCTGCAGTGGGCAGTTTGCAGTTGTCAAGCGTTGTAAAGAGAAGACCACTAGCAGCCAGTATGCCGCCAAGTTCATCAAAAAACGCCCGAGTCGGATCAGCAGGCGGGGCGTGAAGAGAGAGGAGATCGAGCGGGAGGTGGACATCCTGCAGCAGATCCAGCACCCCAACATCGTCACCCTGCACGATGTGTACGAGAACCGCACCGACGTGGTGCTCGTGCTCGAACTGTGAGTCCCTACGTCGCTCAGCAACAGAAAATAAAAATACAGGCGGCTACAATCGACAAAGTTTTAATTGTGGTGTGCTGCAGAGAATGCCAGGGCAGTTTAAACCATGAAAAACCTCRAACCTTGAACAGTGTTCTGGTCTGAGTTGGGTTTTGTGTACTTGTGCTGTTTGTTGAAGCCGTGTTTGTTCAAGATCTTTGTTGGGAGAGATCATGTGTGTCAGACAGGACCAAATGTTTCTCACAGAGTAAATAATGCTCGTGCCTCAGAGGGGCCTCTGGTTATGTTCAGAGATGGCCTGGGAAACTGGTGGGTCTAATTAGGGCGAGTTAAATCTCAGTCCAGTTATTGTTGAATCGACTGACAGACTTTCGAGAGATTTCGCAGTGTACTTTTCCGGRGGGTTTTAGGGAATATTTATGATTAAAATGTAGGCCAAATGTCTCAGATGATGCTTGAGGTGACACAACAAGTATATTGCAGATCTAAGACATCCAGGATGTGTGCATCTTGTTCACAAGGACCCACTTTAGATCAAGAGTGTAAAACTCATTTTCACCAAGGCCCACATGAGTATTATTGTGGCCCTCAAAGGGTCGACTGTAATTAACTTTGATGTTTAATGTTTAACTTTGTCTAAACAAAAAACGTAGCATTCCTTGTGTCACTGCTCTGACTGAGCCCTGCTAACAAACAATAGCTGAGCTCTACGTGGTATTTTCTGCATAGAAASAGTGTTTTAACACGTCATCTTATAAACACTAAAAMGTACTACATTTACATCTAAATGTGAAATAAATAACCCTGAAATATTTTTATAAGTAAAAGTAGGAGTTTCACTCACTGTTGAGTTGTGGTGAGTAGCTGCAGTCATGARTTCTGAACTCTCCCACTTTCCAACAGGGAATTCCCACTCAAGGGATGTTCCAGTTTAAATTTACGACTTGTAAGTGGGAAAATCTCCCTTCCCAGCTGGGCTACAGGAAAAGTAGCCAACAAAAATGCAGTGAAATAAGTAATTTTGCACCCTGTGCACCTCCACCTAGTGGTGGTATAATAATCAACATGCATTATGGGAGATGCAGTTTATGGTCCATGCTGGCATTACACACATTAAGACATGAATACATTTTTGAAGCTCTCATGGGCCATATAAAATGCTGTGGCAGGCCACATTCGGCCCATGGACCTTGAGTTTCACACGTGCTTTATATAAAGAGCTTTGTTCTAAATAATCTATGTGTTTGTGTGTTTTCAGGGTCTCTGGAGGGGAGCTGTTTGATTTCTTGGCTCGGAAAGAGTCTCTCTGTGAGGAGGAGGCCACTCAGTTTATTAAACAGATCCTAGACGGGGTTCACTACCTGCACTCCAAGGGGATTGCACACTTTGATTTGAAGGTACAAGACAATGTTCCTCGTGTGTGTGTGTGTGGGGACTTTTATTTGGGGACAAAAGTCGAGTCCCTATTTGGTTTAAATGCCATTGGTGGGTTGGGGGTTGGGTTTAGGACCAAGGTGTGAATTGAGTTTAGGTTAGTTTTAGGGTCAGGTAGGTACCTGTGAGGTTAGCCTTAGGGTTTGTGGTCAGGGTTAGGCTGTAGGAATGTAATGGAAGTCAATGGAATGTCCCCAAATGGATAGCTGTGTGTGTGTGTGTGTGTTTGTTCGAACAGGATATGTTTTGGAAAGTCAAAGTGAGCCTCATTACAAAGCAGGTGTCTGTTGTTTCTGAGGGTAGAGTCTCACTCCTCTGATCCACAGGTCCTTCCTGTTAGCACGGGACAAACATGCAGACTGTCAGATAAGGACACCACGAGGTTATCTCTTTTTCAGAGAGCAGCGTCGCCCACATACCTCTGATAGGTTCGTTTTCTGTAGCTGCTCTTTACTTCAGAAGGATGTAGTAGTTAATGAAGAGGAACACTGTGGCCTAAATTTGTCCTGCCTTGTGCAGCAACCTTCAGTTTAAAAAGACAAATCTGTGCATTAATAAGTGCTTTAGAGTTCAGCAGGTGAAACCTTTCTTTTAATTCTTCAAAATGTGCTGTCGAGTGCGTCACTTCCAGAACGACTGAATTTCTCTTTCTGTGTTATGCAATCTCATTCTCAACATTTTTCCCTCTCACCCGAAACGTGTCAGAATTTAAAAAGCGGCTCCGTCCTGTTCTTGGCTGAAATAATGTTGATTTTATTTTTTTATTTTTTACATTCCCCTTAGATTTAGGGCTGTGAATAAACACTAAAATATGTTAGTGTCCACAAAGAAGAAAGTGCTGGTGGAACATGAGGAGATATTTGCATAATTTAACCAAATGACGGATTTAATGATTGTGTTTCAGCCAACTTTTGGCACCGTCTGTGGAAAAGCAGCAAACCTTTGAGGCCCCTCGTGTTTCTTTGTTTTCATACTGAATGCATCAAACCATTAGTATGCTCACGTAAAGGCAAGGAAAACGAGAAGGTTGTTTTCCAACAGTTCTTTCTGTTCTTTTCTAAGAATATTGTCTTTTAAATGCACGCACACAAAGGCTGCTTTATTTTGGTAACTTGAGTTAGCGACTTGTTTCTGTGTAATTCAGCTCTGGTTTTGGTAGAAATCTGCTGACTAATGTGCTTCTTTATTTTGTTTTCTTTGTTTTGCAGCCTGAAAATATAATGCTGCTGGACAGGAGCGTCCCTCTGCCCCGGATTAAAATCATAGATTTTGGACTGGCGCACAAAATAGAACCTGGGGCGGACTTTAAAAACATCTTTGGCACGCCTGAATTTGTTGGTAAGTTTACTATTAAGTACTTTACGAACTATCTGCTTTTTAGTGAAGTTAAGTTTGAGCTGTCTTGTTTTCAGCTCCAGAAATAGTCAACTATGAACAGCTGGGACTGGAAGCAGACATGTGGTAAGAGCCTTTGACCACCTCTCACTCAGTACGACGGGTCACAACACAGACCTTTCTAACCCCTCTGCTGTTTTTCACAGGAGCATCGGAGTCATCACGTATATACTGTAAGTTGGCACAATTACGTCCTGGAAAATTGTCAAATGAGACTCAGGTTTGTGCTGTCGTTTCAGATTGAGCGGTGCGTCTCCTTTCCTCGGCGACACAAAGCAGGAAACGYTGGCCAATATCTCAGCCGTGAATTATGATTTTGATGAAGAGTTCTTCAGTAACACCAGCGAGCTTGCCAAAAGCTTCATCAGACAGCTGCTGGTAAAAGACACGAGGTATAAAAAGATAAAAAGATCAACAGATGCTCCATAAATCAGAGGTTTATAGTAACTAAGTACATTTACTTTGTTACAGTACTTAAGTNCTCTGTCATGACTTTATTCTGGACGTTATGTTTTCTAAGTCCTCGGCTGTTTCTTTATTTCTCTCATTACAGTGTGGTTTGGTGTATGTGTGTGTKTTTTTTTTTTTTCAGAGGGATTGTGAAAGTGACCAAGAGGAGGAAATTCTAAAGAGGAGGCCGAGGACCAGAAAGAGAAGCAGCACTTCCTAAAAAAGGACTAAATGGTCAGTTGATGCAAGAACCGTGACTTTGCATCATTTTAAGGCACACTGTGTTTTGTCTTAAAAAATATATGTATTTTTTTAAAACACCTACCCATATGTATTTGAGTGACAGCTGTTAAGGAAATGCTGTTTTTTTTTTAGTTGTCTTATTGTTTCTTTCACCCCAAAATCAGCCTAATATCTCCTGCATGTCACGTTGTGCCACTTTATAAATTTGCGTCTTCGCTCTGGCAGAAGAAGATAGACGTAGATTGCTGCCGACAGGAACTCCTGCGTGTTTTGTTCGCACACGCACAGGAATGTGGACGGCTTCCTTCTACAACTGCAGTCTTAAAAAGCCCGTCAGCTGTAGTCTGACGTCCGGATCTGATTCAGACTTTTTTATTTTTGTCGCCCATGTGTTTGACAGACGTCTTGTCCAAAGTATAGAGAGAATGAAAAGGTTTCAGCTCAGCAGGATGAGAGGATTTTTGTAATCAAATGTTTACATGTTGTTGTTTTTCTGCTTAGACACAACCCTGTCTGTGCAAATAGTGTCAACTGTTATTTTTTTCATCTCAAGAATAAATAACTTGAGTCTGTAAACAATGTGTTTACTATAAGTAACTGTAAATTACTATTACACAATATTATTAACCTTTTTTTCTGTACATTAAGGTGGTATATAAATCTTTTTGTATGTGAAGCAGAGTTGATTTTTGCGTTAATGCTCACCATACTGTGATGTATTTATGGTGTAAATAAATATACAGTTGGTCAAATAAATGTTTTAAGGTTATGTTTACCTGAGCTCAAAAACCGAGCGTTTATTGTTGTAAACATGTGTGTGTGTGTGTACATGTGAGAACACCCTGATACRTCGTTTAAAAAATGTTTTTTGAAATAAATGTTTGGATTTCTTTAAGCTTTTACTTTCAGATTAATGAGCCTTAACCTAAAATATTATCCCACTGTTAGATTACAGTACAACAACCAAWAATATTTTAAAGTCATTAATACATCATGATGCCCAAAGTCCATTTTGTTAAAGAAATTATAACCGACTACGTATTGATTTTTTACAGTTAATATTTCTTTTTTTTAATCAGCGGTAGCACAGCTCCAAGTGATTAGTCATGGTTGCCAGATAGAAAATGACAAAATGTGGTACTGTCGCTTTAAAATGACTTGTGTTTTGACCCAAACAATCACGTGTGTTGAGTAAGGTTGTGCTTTTTCACTCAGCTGGGAGGGTGATGGTGGTGAGAAGGGGTGTGGGTTTTCATTGAATCAGACTTTGTGAGTTTTATTTTATTTAAAAAAAGGATTATTTATTGTATATTGTTTAGACCAGGGCTGTCCAATCCTTGTCCTTGAGGGTCACTTACCCTGCATGTTTCAGAGGTTTCTCTGCTCTGGTTCAAATGATTGGGAGACTAACATTCTCCTGCAGAACCTGAAGAGATAATTCAGCCACAAAATCAGGTTTATTATAGGGAAACATGCCAGGATTGGACACTCCTTTAGGCCCTAAAACTATCAATTGTTTGGCAACACTAGAGTCTGAACAGTTATTTGTCTCTGTGTGTCCCTGTGATGGACTTGTGACCTGTCCAGGGTGTCCCTCACCTCTCACACAGTGATTGTTGGAGATAGACACCAGCTCCCCCACAATCTGCATTGAAGTGGGCGAAGATAATGGATGGAATATCAGCAATTATTAATCATAATGACAAATCTGGCAGCACTACTTTTTTTAAGTCTATTGTTTATTCTGTCAGGGATAAAGCTTTTTGGGCTCAGTTTGTCTGAATGAGATCAGAGGGATAATTCGACTTGAACTAAATACACTCTGGCATTGGGGTGAAGTGGGTCGAATGCTCAAAAAGAGTCCCGAACAACAACAAGTGGGTCAGCTGTGGCTGGTTATTGTAACACATCATAAAATCAGTCTCCTTACTCTAATTATTTTTTTACAAAATCACAATAAAATTGATTTATAACAGAAATCTTCAACGCTGCTCCTCGTGACCCACTGTCCTGCATGTTTAAGCTGTTTCCCTGCTTCAGCACACCTGCTTCAAATCATTTAATTACCTAATCAGAGTGTCACCAGGTTTAGCAGAAGCCTGTCAATCACTGGTTCATTTCAATCAGGTGTGTGGAAGCAGGACAACATCTTGTATGTGTTGTTCCTAGTCAAACCCACAAATTATGTTTTGATCAGATATGCAGAATAAAAAAATATAAATTAAAAAAGCAAACAAGCTTTTGTGTATTTGAAGATGAAAGTTTAGAAGAATGATATACTGTAATGGATAATTTATTTTTATAAAATAAAGACAATTGAGATTTTAATGCTGAAGACTAGAAAACCTCTTTAAATAACTGTTTTTAGGCAAATAGTTATTAAAAACAAAAAGTAAACTTAGTTCTACAATACTAAGTAGTTTTATTAAACTAGTGCTATGATTTGCCTTTTTTCTTTTTTGTTTTACAATGTGACTGTTATCACTATCAGAGCTGTTCATGATGTGGGTGTAAACAAAAGGAAGAGTTGAAGGAAACAGGTGTGAAGTTTTAAAGCTGAAAAAGTGTTTCARACTCGTCAGGATTCTGTGTATTCTGGCCCTGATGTGGACCAGGACTTGTCCAGGGTTTCCCCTGTCTGATGACAGCTGGGGAAGAGTCCACCCTTCCAACAAGAACAGAACAAAACGGGTTGTAAAGCTGCTTGTTTTGGCTTCAAAATACAGATTTCTCCCCCTCGTTTTATGCATATTATTACATCCTCAGCATTTGTAACAAAACAAAAAGTTCTTCAGAAAATATTCAAGAAGCTGTGATGATTTTATTGAGGAAAACAAAAAACAGCTGGCTGAAACAAAACGGTTAATTTAAGTCAGTAGAAGAAGTAAAAACATCTGTTTTAATTGAAAYAGTCACTGCCTCTTTTTAACACCGAAACACATCATTTCTGCAGAACTGTGTCTAAACTTTCTCCTTGGATGTTCTCATTAAACACTGTGCATTCAGAGCCTTGTTGAGACTTTTTATGTCATATAAAATTTATATTTACTTTTGATATTTAATCAAAGTCAATGGGCCCGTAGAGTTGAACTTTTTATCTTGATCACTCTTAAAACAGTTAAAGCCTGTTTAGTCAAAGAAATCTGAGAGTCAGATATAAGTTTACGAGGTTTTCAAGGCTCTGTTTAGACTTGAACGATCTCTAGTAACTTGGGCATGTTTCCAGTGCAGATTGCAGTAAAGTTACATATTTGGGTTGCTCTCATTGAATCTGCTGTAGTTTTCATGGCAGGTCACCAGCTGGCACTTTTTGTATTTAGATGAGACGCTCGTGTGTGCAGACGCTTCGGACTTCAGGTGAACACAGCAACCTTCGTTAGGATGGAGGATGAAGTTGTGTAGCTCCAACATGTTGAAAACAGTGAGCAGTGCAAACAACACTGTCAGATAACCATCATTGTTACTGTTGTTCATCTCAGGCAGGCGCAGAAAAACTTATGACTGCAGCCGTCTGCAGTGCGTTCGCACATTTTCACACCAATGCCAGGCTTTTCCAAAAAATCTCAGTTACATGTCATTAAGTATACTTAAAGGGGCTATATCAACTTTTTTGAGTTTTATATCATGTTATAATGTTATCCTCTCATCACAAACATGCCCAGAGTCTTTGACTCATTCATGCGTGTTTGAGAAATCCTGTGCTGTCCTGAGGCAGCCAGGCAGGGGAGCAAAAACGACCACTTGGGACTAGAACCGCCTTTTGGGACCAGCTCCGCCTCTGGGCTGTGACTCTGAACTGAGCTTCCTCAGAGCATACCCCCCCCCCCCCCCCCCCCCCCCCCCCCCCACACACACACACACACACACTGGGAATATTTATTTCATCCTACTCAGCTGAAACCTAATTCATCTTATACACCCTCAGGCTGTCTGAAAACAGAACCTTAAAAAAGCCCTTTTGTCTAAATGTGAGCGAAACGAAGCAGGATTTCTGTAATTACCTTTTGAATGACATGAAAATGTAACATTCTGACAGAAGTCTAATCACAATGGCTGCTCTGAGGCATGTGAGACGTGTTATTTTTTTGTTTGTTTTTGCTGTGAAGTCCTCACTCATCCCGTTTGGATCCGAGCATGAAACCAGGAAGCGTTACGCACTCATCAAGAATGTCTGCTGTGTGTTTTTGGCGTCTTTACCAGGCACGGTTTTGGCTCCTGTAAGGGGGTCACGCACTAATCCATTCACCACCAAGTGTTTGTTTCAAAGATGCAACAATGAGACCAGCCTCTTACTCAGTGTCCCTCCTCCTCCTTCCTCCACCCTTCTTTCTGAAGTCCTGTGGCCGAGCAGAAGAAGATGCAGGTGTGTCCAAAGCCGAGAAGAAAATGGAAAAGCTGAAGACCAAGCGTCTAAAGGAGTACACGGTTCAGTCCCGCTCCAGCATGCTTCACAACACGTACGTCCGCTTTGAGCGTTTTGTTCACGTGGTGGAGCACATCGGCTTGCTGGATGCTGGGATATCGGGAGTGGTGGGGGCTAACCACGCCCTGCGCCACGACGTAGAAGCACTCCTCTCCATCTACAACGACAGGGAGGCCAGATACGAGCAAGAGGGTGAAGCTGCCAAGAAGCGCCTCTCCCAGGCCCGCCGCGAGCTCCGTGCAGTGGAGGCMGCCCGGCTGCTGCTGCAGGAGGACGTCAAAGCTGTGGATGCCAGTCTGGAGAACATCAACGGGAAGTTCAAGCAGAGGCAGAGCCAGCTGGACACCCTGAGGCAGGAGCTGGACTCAGAGCTGCAGTGGCTGCAGGGACTGGTGGAGTCCAAAATGGCGGTCTGAGTACAGATGTGAAACGAGCACTGGTGGAGCTGCAGCTTCAGTCATGCAGAGCTGACCAAGCAGACTCTGGAAAACCCAACTCTGATGACCTGAAAACATGTTTCTTAAAGAACAGTTTGATTTGTTTTTCTTTTGCACAACACAAACTTTGGATCAAATAGCTGTTTCATTTAAAAACGGAGAGGTAATTAGTCTGTGAAAGGCACAATTTAAAGGCACATATTGCCACTTATATAATCAAAAGTAAAAATTATTTTCTTAAACTATGTCAAACAGGGCAGTTTGAAAGTGCTTACTCTAGGAATTTTCCAGATTAATAGAAATTCCACCTGAAATGCAGGTATGCTCTCAATATCAACAAAGCACTCAGCTGAATCCTCTGAAAACCAAGTGAAAGTTGAGTCATGTGACCTGCTTTAGACTCAACTRAAAACCAGGATTTGTTTTGCACTCGTAATGCCAGACAGCATTTCATAAATTCTGTACAGGTTTTAAAGTTTCATACACATTATTTTACAAAAAGAGGGAGCATGATCAGGTTGTCTTTTCTTAGTGGAAACATTATAAAGTCCTTAATTTAAGTCCCAACAATCTTCCTGCCAAAACAGAAACATAAAGATGAGGGTGAAATATTTCTGGTCACATCTGAGGAGACCAGTAATGTCTGTCAKTTCTGCAGTTTTTATACTCATTTTTGACCTTAACTTGATAAAAAAAAAAAAAACTTTCATAGAAATCACTTCAAATACATTAAGGTGTCAATTTTTTCCCCTGTTTCTTGTGCAGAAGATGAGACAGGAAACAGGTTTGTTCACTGCGATCTTTTATGAGTGTCTCATAATCGACAGGAGCTTCTGCAGCTTCTTGTAATCAAACATCTCTTTTCTTGTCGCAGATTTATGTCAAATTTCTGCCAAACGCTGTTGATATGTTAGGAATTATTCTCAGCGTGAATCAAAGTAATTTATTTATTTGTTCCTCATGTTTAATTGATTTATTTTATTTGCTTTTTAATCAGATAAGCACCAACAGTTACAAGTGTTGATCATGAAGAGTTGAGCACTTCTTTTTATTTAAAAGTGTCTTTATTTATATTCCATGTGTTTTTAAGGCTGTTAATGGTTTTATTATGTATATAATTTTTTTAATTTAGCGTTTATCTCGTCGCAGAGCTCTATTACACAATAAAATATATTGTTTTGTTTTCTTAATTTAGATTTGCACTTTCACTCAAGATTGATTTATTTATTACAGATTTGTAAGTTATTTATTTATTGAGCCCAGWTGCACTAACAGGAAGCAGAAGTGAAACCAATAATTGTGTTAAGATCTTATTTGCATGAAAAACATGTTGCTTCCTTTCTTTCTTGCTTCAGCTTCTTATTTATGTCRACTCTGAAATAAATGGTTTTCATTCATCATCCAGTGTTTAGATTCCTGGTTTTTTGGAGTTTCTCTGTGCTCTTTGAAGTATTTAGTCAAAATGTTGATTTTTGTATGTGTTTTTAATTATTCAAACATCTGACAATTTCATGTGTTTGTTTTTCTGCCGTGTCATCCTTCTGTGCCTGCAGCCYCTGAACTCCCGGCAGGCCATGGTGAAGAGGCTGTCGGTGGTCAACCTGCAGAACTTTAGGAGGCAGTACGCCAGGCGCAGGTGGAAGGTAAAACTGGATCCACACAGCAGATGTTCTGATYCTGTTGCTATGGACTGATTTTTCCACTCGTCACACCGTGTTGTGCGTCTCTTCCCGCAGCTGTCGTTCAGGATCGTGGCTTTGTGCAACCATTTAACCAGAATCATGAAGAAGAACCAGAAGCTGGGTGAAGACAACGGGGTAAGAGGGCACTCGCTCAGGGATCATTTGGTGAAATCTGCATCTAGCCTGATTGCTGCATCTTTGCTTCATTTGATATAAACCAGGGATGGGCAACTTAAAGAATGAAGGGGTCTGCAATTTTTTGTTGACACTAGCATAGTGCTAGTACATAGTGCTGCACACTTACCCCAATGTAATAAAACTGCCATTTTAAAAATGTTTATGTATATATACTGTATATTAGGGTGCAATATACATGTATTGAACCATTCAATACATTTCAATATGTACTATGTATCAACATTACAGATTAAAAAATTTTATTTTATCATCCTGTCTTCTGTCGATCCAGCGCAGATCCACTGAGGAACTTTCTGTTCCAGCAACATTTAATTTAAAATCTATACTTTTGAGGTTAAACAAATCTTCATAATTAATTTCAATAAATTAACAAGTTAAGAAGGGTATGATAATTTCTCATTTGTTTTGAAAAAATATTGAACCGACACTTAAGCATACAGTGAAGTAACTTAACAGATTTCCTGCTCAAATGTGTGTGTAGTAGTTGTACTCTTGTTCAATATGAATTCAAAATGCTTGAAGCAAACAAAAATAAAAACTTGCTTAGTTTTGTGCTTTAAGTGTAGACTCCTGCGTGGTTCTGGTAAAAAGCTGCTGTTGTTTATGTATTTGTGACGTTAGTAAACTTCTCGTATTTAGCTTTGTGCAACGTGTTTTGATGGCTTATAGCCTACCTTGAAAAAAAAAAAACTAATTGGCAGACCAGACGTAAGTCACCCACGAGCTGGATGTGGCCTGCGGACCAGCAGTTGCCCATCCCTGAAATAAATAGTCTGGTTTGAAGTTAGCTCAGAATTTTATCTATGGAAATATATTTTATTTTAAATAAATTTTAAGCTACTAAAGTTCATTGCAGTGAATTGTTACACCTCTAATCACTCTGTACACTAATTTAAAAACTATTTAAAAAAATAACTGAAGCAATAAAGTTTAGTGTCTCTGTCATGACTTTATTCTGGACGTTATGTTTTCTAAGTCCTCGGCTGTTTCTTTATTTCTCTCATTACAGTGTGGTTTGGTGTATGTGTGTNGCAGACTGTCAGAAACTCTGCTGTTACATGTAACCCAAAACCACGTCCTTCAGGATGTCTTTACTGCAGTGTTTGACTCAGTGGTGAGTCAGGAGCCCAAGCCTTGACATGTGTCATTCTCAGGACAAAGTCTATAATAAGGAAACCATAAATATACATTTAAGGTAGGTGAATGAAATGCTTAACTTCATAATGCTACATTAAAATGTTGGCTTTAACGAGTGTATTTTTTTTGTCCAACTGTAAACATTTCTACATTTAAAACAGGAATAAATGAGCTGTAGCTAGTTTGTTTTATTCATTTTTATTTTAAAATGTATAAATCTATAAATAAAGCTGTACATGTGTGGTTAAAAAAATACAATAAAAATGACCATGAAGGTTGCTCCATGGTCACACACATTTGTTTTATTTTTTTATTACCTTTTACAACACTGACACCTAGTGGACATCATTCATCATTTCATCTCAAAGATGCTATCTGAAACAAATAACTACATAAAAAAAACATGAATGGGCTGTACTTATAGTGCCTTCCTGTCCAACCAGGATACTCAAAGCTCTTCACACTACAGTTTGTGCCCTCATTTACCCACTCACACAGCACTCTACCTCTCCACAAAGCTAACCCAGACAGATCATTATGTGGAGACTGCTTAAAGCACATTCATGCACTGACGGGACACATCAGAGGCAGTGGCTTCAGTGTCTTGCCCAGGGACACTTCAACATGGGATGGAATAGTGGAGTATTTGAGCTACCAACTCTGGCTCTGGAGGACGACTCCCCTAAGTACTCAGCCACATCTGCCCCATAAAAAATAAATAAAACTGATGTAAAGCAGCACATTCAAGAATAAGTGTTTTTCTTTTCTAAAAAAAAAAATAAAGACGAGACAAACATCAAAACATAAATACAAATTGGGTTAAAAATGTCATTTGAATCTAACACAGATGTATAACTGTGTGAATGCTTCTAAAGCGTTTTTTTCTTCTTTATGTTTTTCGGCACAAATCTTATTCCGCATTTTTGTGTTATTTCAACAATTCTTATGTCAAAACATTCAGCACCTTCAGGACATTCCAGCAAATACTTTAGGTAGATATTTAACTTTTTGGGCCATTTTTCCCCTCTGAAAATGAGTGGAGTTCAATTCAGTATCTTTGAAATGTTCATAAATCTTAACTGTCCTTTTTGCCTTTTGTTTTTTGAACTTTTTTGTGCAAAATTCTGCTTCTTTCAGATTGTTTTGCTAATCTTAGCTTAAAGGTCACCCATACATTCAGGTAGCTCTGACAACTCTGAAACTCTGAAAACAAAGAAATGCTAAACTTCTTAGCTTGACACCTTGTGTGTCAGAGAGAGGGTCAAAGGCCACAGCTTTGGATTCTTGCAGCTACGTTTTTGCTCTGTTTTGACACAATTTTGCTATTTTTCCACTTTTTTTTTCACTTTTGCTTTTCTACTTTCAACTAACAGTTTTGCTATTAAACATTTTCAGTTTGATTTTTTTAAATTCAAAACATTTTAATAATGTCATTCAAAAAACAACTATATACAATAAAAAAACAAAGAAAACACACAAATCAAAATAAAATGAAGGGTAGCAGAAGAAGAATAAATCTTATAGTGTCTGCCCCTTTTATCCCCAAAATATATTCTAATGAAACAATTTACA